ATATAATATCAAACTTCAACCAAATTGATCAGGGTTGTTGAGGAAAACAAAAGAATTTTTTTTTTTTTACCAATTTTGGAATCTCGTTTGCTCCGAAATTGAGGTTCGTTTTCTGTGCGTAAAAATTGAGGCCGTGCGCACTGCTTATGTTCATATGTGTGTTGTGACTCAATGTGTGTGAGTTTTTTCTTTTTCTTTTTGTTTTTGTGCATATAAGGCCGAGGTTCTTGGCCTAATGGACTCCCTATAAAAAGTACAACCCGATCCGAAGCCCTTTTTGTTACTCTCTCGAGTCTTGACCCTTCTAATCTTTCCCCGCTGCTCAGTCGTCTTCGAGCTGTGATTCGTTAACCACCTTATTATCGATCAACCCAGGTGTGATATATATGTTGAAGTGTTTCTTAGTTTTTTAGATCGTCTTTATTGATAACTGATGTTGTTAATTGGCAAATAGTTATGAATTTGCGGTGATACATAAATCGTTCGATTTATTTTTTTTTTCCTTGTGACTCATGTTTTTTACTGTGTATATGATGTTTCTCATGGGTCGGTTGTCTTGTAGTTGCGTTTTTCCTCTAATGGCTTGTTGCCCAAAAATGTGCCCTTCTATCTCTCTCTCAGTGGGAAATTTGTAGCTATATGAAATTTTAGTAGATTGGAAATAAAGAGAAATACAATTTTCTTAATTTCATGATTAAAAGGGGTAGCTATAAATGTATATTTCAGAATTTCAGATGGGCAACTTAAACCTGAAGTCGAGTTGCCCCTGCTCTTCATCCATCTGGACTTTCTGTGGTGATTTTACTCTCTCAATTGTTTTAAGCCACCAGTAATCTTTAGGTGTGTATATAATTGTAAGTGTTCACATTTGCATCTTTTTCTTAAATCAACAATCGGGTTCTCCTGCCTTTGTTATTCTTAAGTCAATAATCGGGTTCCAAGTTGAAGTGCAGCAGGTATGAGATAGAGAGTGGGAGATGGGTCATTAATAAAAATTTGTTCAGATTCATGGATTCCTCATTTTCGACATTTTAAACTTTTTTCTCAACCCATACTCGGTATTGACCGAGTAAAGGATCTTATTGGGGTTAGTGGAGCTTGGAATGAAAACCTGATCAACAACATTTTTCTACCAATTGATGCACAAAATATATAATTGTAAGTGTTCACAGTTGTATCTTTTTCTTAAATCAACAACCGGGTTCTCTTCCCTTTGTTATTCTTAAGTCAATAATCGGGTCCAAGTTGAAGTTCTCCCATCAGAGCCGGATGTATATTAGCCCAGCCCAAACCTAAACCTTTAACTTCTTAAATTCTGCTAAGCCTCTGCCTGCTCGTTCATCCGCTCATGACCGAGTAACAATTTTGTTCCCTTCTTTCCTCTCAATTTTGTTGCAATTTCTACTATCTTTGCAGAGTGCGGACAGCTTTCACTCACCAAGCTGCCGAATTCCGTCGTCAACTAGTTGACCAGCCATCACTTCCACTCGCCATCCGATTTAAAAGGTACCAAAAAACATTATATTTACTTTACAAACCCTAGATGGCTAGATTACGTATTGCGAAGAGAGAAAATATCATATGAGGTTTAATTATTGTGTGAAACATCCATGATTGAGTGCTTCTTCTTAAAAAGAAACGAGAAATTTGGAGCCTGAAGCATTCAAAATATTACTGTCTCTGTGATTTTTAATTAATTTTTTTTTTTTTTTCGTGGATTTTGAGCAATTGGGTGTTGAGATGTAGCATATGCTTCAAATTTTGTTTAGCTTGTATACTCAAATGCGCCTACATTTGATCAATTTATGAACCGAAATATGCTTTTTTTTTTAATAATCATGTTATTGTTTCAGTTTTGTCTAAATATGTCTAGTAATCACTTTTGTTTCAGTTTTTTTCCTAATCTATGTAGCAATATGCGAATATCATTTGATGACAGATTTATTTATCAAAGATATGGTTCCTACCAACGTTATTTTTTAGTATATTTTATGATGTTTATTTGAGTTTCATTTCTTTTGCCATTTTTTTTTTTATTTTCATTTTTGAAGTGAATGTAGAAATTGTTGGGGAAGTGTATTAGTTCTGAATAGAATGTTTGAACTTAAGATGAAGATTTAATTATACTAAGAGCCACCTTGAGGGATTTGGTATAAGATATAAGAGATCTTCTTTTATAGATTTTGCACTTTTGGTAGACAGTTTATTTGGTGCGAGCTCATTTTTTAAAGGTTGATCATGAGTATAGAACGGTTGATCATATTTGGTGCGAGTTCATTTCTTATGTGATTGTTTTTTATGAAAAATGAGTATCTAAAGTTCTAGCAACAACAACAACAACAACATACCCAGTATATTCCCAAACGGGTTGGGGTCTGGGGGGTCAGTTGTACGCAGACCTTACCCTTGTAATTATACAAAGAGGTTGTTTCCGTAGCGACCCAAGGTGCATTGCGTCGTTTGGTATATTTTTATTTCTAGAGACTTCACTAATAGAAGAAGCAGTAGAATTTAATTGAGTCATTTTGATCTAGTCCATTATTAGTACTATGCCAGAAGAATTGTCAACAATGACTCTTCCAGCTCCATTTGCAATGGACATATCTAAAATTCTAGCACAGTCTAAAAAAAAATAGACTACCTAAAATTCTAGCACAGTCTAAAAAAAATAGACTATCTAAAATTCTAGCACAGTCTATTTTTTTTAGATCCTTCCCTGGCTCCCATTTACTTCTTTTCTTAAATCAAGAATCGGATTCTCCTACCTTTGTTTTCCGAATGGTGGAGTAATTAATCTTTTACTGAGCAGCTCCATCAAAAAGTTGTTGTATCTTAAATATATTTCCTTTTGGCTTGGGTAGGATGAAGGTCCGTTCGTCTGTGAAAAAAATGTGTGAGTTTTGCCGTGTGGTGAAGAGACGTGGACGTGTTTATGTCCTGTGTTCTGCTAGTCCCAAGCACAAGCAGCGACAGGGAATCTCCACATTTGCGTACCAAGGCCTGATACCACCAGTGTACGTTTTCCTTAGGTTTCATCGTTTAGTTATTTATAGTTATGAATCAAGTAGTTTGTCAAATTTATGCATTTGCTTTGAGATAAATGGTAGGTGGGACCCGTTCTCTGAGCATTAGAGAGGGTTATATGATTTTAATCGTTGATGTGTTACCCAGCTCTTAAAAATCTTATGAATTCACTGTTTGATGGCAACTGGTGCTGATTAGGGTTCTTCTAAAAAAAGAGTCAGAAAGAAAAAGAAGGAAGTTTTTATATTGTGTAGACATCACAAGAGTCCTTTTGTTCTTATTTTGTTCTTCTCTCCCAAATGCTACCCCCAACTTATTGTATAGCTGGCTGCCTTTAAATTTATGTTTTTGCAATGTGGGTTATATGATTTTAATCGTTGATGTGTTACCCAGCTCTTAAAAATCTTATGAATTAACTGCTTGATGGCAACTGGTGCTGATTAGGGTTCTTCTAAAAAAAAGAGTCAGAAAGAAAAAGAAGGAAGTTTATGTTGTGTAGACATCACAAGAGTCCTTTTGTTCTTATTTTGTTCTTCCCTCCCAAATGCTACCCCCTCTTTATTGTACAGCTGGCTGCCTTTAAATTTATGTTTTTGCAATGTGGATTGCAGGGCCGTAACCGAAAGTTCAAAGGAGATGACATCATTTGCTGCTGATGGTGCCAAAAATGGTTTGCCTTCACTCATATACCACAAGAATGACACATTTACTGCGACACCTTGGTGGAAAGTTGGTCTTGTCTCTCGTCTGTTCAATCAGAACAGCAACCAGTAGTGCATTTTAGTTGTGGAATGAACTGCGAAGAAAATAACTTTAGAAATTATGCAGCTGGTCTGTAGTTTCAACTTCATTGTGTTCTGTTCTCATTTTCTTTTTCCTGTCATGCTTTTAAGACACTATTGTTATTTGATTGCATGTTGATGAAGATTTGACTAGCCATTTTGAATTTGCTGGTGATTAAATAGAAGGCTTTCGGGTTACATTATCTTATTTTGGTTTGCTGAGATGAATACTAGGTTGGATTAACCTAACTGACATCTTATATTGCTAAATGGAGTGTTTCATGTTTGGTGGATTTCCTGTTGAAAGATTACATTGCTCAATCGTTCTCCTTACTATTACATGTTTGTTATATGTATGGCCGTGGCGTCCTCTCTTTGAATGCTATCTATTTTAGTTTCAATCAAAATAGAAGAAGCACCGAAAATTTCACCACTTTATTTATTATGAACTCCACATGTAACTCACGCCTTTACCCAAGAAAGAATACGTAAAATCAGCATCTTTTATTGTTTTCATGTCAGAAGTTTGAGGCTTTGTTAGCTCAACATCTTTGTATTGTTTTCATAATGAGAAGTTTAAGACTATGTTAGCTTGTTTAGAATGGAATGTTGTGTTCTAAAAACATATTTTTGCAGTGGTTTAACATCACATGAATCCAGCAAACCTCATTATGAGTATTTCCTCACTAAAATGCAGAACAGAAACGGACCCAAACATAAACAAACTTTATAAACAGAAGAGAACCACAAATTTGACTAGACATGAGAATCAATAAATCAAATAAATTGCAAAAAGGCACACATCACAATCATTCACTTGAGTGAGGGATAACATTATACAAAGTAAAACTCCAGCACGGTCTATAACAGGCTTAACAGCTCAACATGAAGAGCACATTGGTTTGGGTAGAAGGTTAATACAATGTTACTTTATTCCCCGCGTGCTGCTTATGCTTCGGCAGCTGACTTCATGCAGCAAAACCACTTCTTCTGCAAATCATAAAACTCCCCACAATCAGTGTGGAACTTGTATTTTTTCATGAGTGTTGCAGACACAAGAAAAAAGAAAAATGTGCTCCGTGTTTTCTGTTAGTTTTCATCGGAACTTTCGTTTACCTTATTTTTTTACTCAGCCTTCAGAATGGCAATTTTATTCATGCAAACTTAATAATCAACATTGTCGACCAAGTTTATCAACTTTCCGTTTAGCTAATCATAATTCATAACCAAAGCAACTTCAATATGAATGATATGATGAAGTGGAAGCTTCAAACAACTTTAAGAATCAAAGTAATCTACATAAGAGATCACATATAAATTATCAGGCAAACGTCAATAACTTACAGAATGAGGCTTTCCTCCTAGAGTTGAAGGGGGCCTATAAGTGGATTCACCCTTTGGTGGAGACGAGTCGGGCTTGATACCAGTCTTTTTCTCATTCCTAGCTTTATTAAATATGACAGTGAACCCCTCAGCAGATGCTGGATCATTCACGTCCCATTCTCCAAATTTTGGTAAAGGCAGACCTTTCTCCTGCGAAAGAAAAGCCAATTAGTATAAAAGTTACGCAAAAACCATACAGATCTTGTAAGAGGAAAAGGAGAAAAAAAAACATCTTGTTGATATGCTACCATATTTAAAGGATTTTAGTGATGCCCCACAGTTACTCATTTTGAGGAATTGATAAACTTACATGTAAGTAACTTATCCGAGAAGCATACAAGTCCAAGAAGAGGCAATACAGCAGTGAATACTGACACTCATGCATGATGAAAGATTGAAAACATACTATGTATAGAGCTGATGAGGCAAAAGGAGTAGTGAAAGGTTAAGAAAACGCAGTCGTTAATGTGGAACTAATTACCACAAACATCACGGAAATGCAAAGTTCAACACGCAGCAAAATGCCACTGCTGCAAAATAATACAACACCTAAAACAAAGCGGTCATATGTCAACAAGAATCTTCACTAGGTCTAAATGGTGAGACATTTTACGGAGTCTTGAAGCAGAAAAAGTTTGCCTAGAGGCATTATACTAATTGCAGAAAATATTTGGAGTTGGGAAAATTCTCATATTGCAGCGGATCAATAGAGGATAACAATCAAAACAAAAGATGAACCAAAATCACAGGCCAAATTCACTCCAACAGCGAAACCGATAGAACCAAATGATATAAGCACATGATGAAAGGCTATGCTTAGCTTGAAGGGTGTAAGCACCTTGCACATACTTAATCGACCGAAGATTATATAAATAATCTCAAATCAGCTGACATATATATGTATGGATGTATGTATGCATTATATGACTGCGAACACACAGAGACACAAAAAGGAAAAAGAAAAAGAGAAAGAGGAAAGAAGAACAGGTAGATAAGGAAAGTTGGAAGCTTTACCGCCATGGCCGACTATAAAATCTGCAGAGCTGAGAATTGAAACTGTCGAAGGCTGAAAATGAAATAGTAGGTTTTGGAATTGGGAATTTGGGGGTCTAACTGTCCACGTGAATCTATTCCGACAACAGTCGTCCCTACTTTTTCCCATTTCAGTTAAATAAATTTCATATAAAATATAAACGGAAATGCTACGGTCCGTTACAGAACCATTTCGTCAAATTTATAACCGTTGGGTAAATTATTGACGACAGATACATGATGATCTAACGGTTACAAATCTGACGGAATGGTTCTGACTTTGATATGTCACTGAAATTTATATTTTAATATTCACTTACTCCATTAAAGAAAAAAATCAAATTATAAATTATTATATGAAAAATTTTATTATGCGACCCGAATTTGGCTTGGCTTATTTATTAATTATATACTGGTTTTGTTTAAAAGCTCAAGATTTAAATGTCATATTATTGTATTTCTAGCTGTATTTTGTGTTATAGTAGTATGTTTTAACTATTTATTTTTTTCTCTGATCATCATATTTGTACAACACTTGTGAATGGTACGAATCTTAGGTAAAAAGTTTAACTTTAATTAAGTTTCAAATACTTTTTAAGAAACTATATTATTATTTATAAATCAAATAGCACTCTTCACTTCTACGATTTATCCAATTTGTATTATAATAATTTTCATTTTGAATAAAACAATATATTATTATTTTTATTTGCAATAACACATGACATAAAACTATTTCCTCCTATATTATGAATTTAAAACTCTTTTAAAATTCATATTATATATCAGTTTATATGAGTTGGTTCAAATAAAAATTAGTCCTGGTGTGACAACCATATTTGATATTATTTTTAATTGTGTATGATGTTATTTTTAATATTATATGATGTTATCATTTACACAAAAACTAATATAAATTGTAATGCTATTTTTAATAAAATATATCCCAGTTAAAAATAGCACTAAAACACATCAATCATAATACTTTATATAATAAATAGCGGTTCTCACGCTAGGACTCAGTTCTCATTTGAACCACATCCTATATAATTAAGATTAATAGATAATTTAACTTATAAAGACAGATATACTTGTTGTATTAATTATATATATTTAATTTTAGTAAAACCAAAGCTATAGAATGTGAAATATTTGACGAGATGAAGTGACAGCCAAACTAGAAACAGTCTTTGAACAAACTAATGAAAATCTGTTGATTTTTTCAAAGTCCAAACCATTCTTGACAAATGATGAATATATATTTTTAAATTTAATCATTTTGAAAGGAGGTTAAAAAATATACATTACTCTATACCTACAAAAGAAAAAATCACAACATTTTCTCAAACTTGTCCAGCCTCCTTACCCTCTGCATGGATCGAACGAGTAGTGCGAAGAAGACACCTGCAAATATACACAAACGTTACAGTACACGATTTATTCATCGAAAAAAAAAAAGAAAGCACATTCAAAGAAGGTAACGAACCTGCTACAATAAACATCCCGTTTGCCATGACTCGACTGCTTTGGTTGATTAATGTCACCCCAAGGTTTAAAAATGTGCCCCACAAGACTGTATAAATGGTTGCCATCTGGAGTATAGTCGCCTTTCTCGCTGCCCTCTCTGACTGAGAAAATGCAGATTTTTTTGCATTTCCATGCATATTATGATTAAAGAAAAAGGTAGTGTGTAGATTAAACCAGAACGAAAATAAACCTCAAGGACACGAACACGTAGCTTTAGGTCTCCAGATTCGAGCTGTTTTACAATGTTTTCTATCCGTTGGATTCGGTATGGCATGGATATCGTGTTAGATCTTGCCTGAACAAAAATTACGACACATTTAATTATTATTAGTAAATACAATGTATGGAAGTCGAACAAGGTTTCTCCAAAGGCGTGAAATTAACTACTCGTTTGATTGTTATACAAAAAGATAGAAACTTTTTCCAGCTAAATAAAATGTTACGGTTTCAGCTTGTTTATGTATTGCTTGAGCGACTTGAGCCCCCGACTGTTGCTGCTGTCTAAAATCGAGGAGTTCCTGTGCATATGGAGCAGCAACCTTAACAAACGAAAATTTTGGATCCAATGTGTGGCCGATACCTGCAAGAAAGCACAATCAAAGGGTAAAAAGGACCATTTGGAGTCTCAAGAAATCATAAAGAGAGAGAGAGGACCTTCGAGTGTCGAGAATGCCCTGACTACAAATGCGAAAGTGGAAGGAAATCGAAATGGCTGATCCATTGCTATTGCAAATAAATCCTACAAACAAGTTTAGCCATTTTTCTTGTAAAAGAAAAACCAAGAAGGAATTTTGATATGAATTGTTAGTTTTTCCTTCATACCTCGCCAATTGCAGTGAACGTTTGCTGCTGTTTCTGTCCTTCAGTTAACAAATTATCCAAGAAAAACTGTACAGATCTTCTTACCTTAAAGAAATGAGGAAATGTTTCAGTAAGGGATTTACACTGTAAGCATGAAAGAACTTTTCTTTCTTATATGCTCCGGATTTGAAAATGTAAAGAACAACTTTATTAGTTCGAAAGCACGCATACTGATAACATATCCCCTGTGGGCTTCAGTGCACCTAGATCTACAAGGCTTTGCATAACCTGCACCATTTGAGATTTTATGTTAACTCCTACTTTTTATACAACCTGCGAAATACGAATAAATAGGTAATCATGACACAATAATGCTAATTTTAGTCTAAACCATAAACCCGAACCATATTTCTGAACTATAAAATACCGTTCGAATTTTTAGTTCATACTTTACAAATTACACAACACTCAGCAAGATGGATATTTGTCAAGAAATATATCAAACCAACACAAAATTTTCAGGAAAAAGAATTTAACCTTTTTTGCATCCTTTTCATAAACAGCATAGAAAAGTTCTAAAAGCCGATCCCTCGTAAAGCTCTTAATTTCTCCCATCATACCAAAATCGTAGAATATAAGTGCTTCATCCTCATCGATGGCAATATTTCCAGGATGAGGATCAGCATGATAAAAACCTGTCCTTAGTATCTGCACAATCCTAACCAGAGGTCCTTAGCTCTATGTAGAGAGAAAGTAAGAAATTATAATTCTTTTTTTTTTCAAATAAAAAGTACGAAGAACTAACCTGTATTAAGAAGGATTCAACAGCGCGTGATGAGATCCTAGATCGATTATAACCCCGCTTATCTAGTAAATCCAGCTGGTTTATCTTAATGCCTGCGTAAAAGAGAGAATCATACGGTAAAAGCCTTTACCTTAAAATGATGGTCAGTAAAAAAATCTATTGACAAATGAAAAAAAAAAAAAAGTACAAATCAAGCAATACCGGGAACATACTCCAGCGTTAGCACCTTCATTGCTGTATAATCCCAGAATACCATCTAATATTATTACAAAATAAGTTAACTAATAAGGAAATAGACAACAATGTCATATAATGAATCAAATCAAACCTTTTTCAGACGAAGAAGATTAGAAGGAAAAAGATTTGATGATTAAGAGGAGAGCATCAAATAGCTCAGTTTTTATACCAAGCAGTTGTGCAGAGAAAGCTTGAGTGTTCCATTTCGAATGCTTAACAAAATAAACTCATTTAAAACATATTAAAGAAAGATTAAGCCAAGAAAGAGAGGGAAAAACATACAGGCATTCGGACCCACTTTATATTCCGAAACTCGCGCCGGAACCTATCAGCATTCTTTGCTTCATTTACATAATCGATTTCTTGATACAGAATCCTGGTGTCCCCATAAAGAATCCCATTAAGAAATGTGTTAACACTATAAGAAAC